ACTAAAATAGTATGTAGCTTGAAAATTGAATATATCTATCCAAGTACATTATGAGTAGTTGATATTTTAAATTTGTTAATTTCTTGATAAGAGTGATCATTTGACCCGAACGAGATCGGTTCTTGTAACTGAGAGTACAAACCGTTCCATCATAATTATCAACAAATATTGACATATAAGTAAGAGATGTTTCAATCAAGAAAGCTATAGTATAGCATAGCATAATATTGTACATTCCTCATTCATTTGCATTACTTGTAGCTTATGAACTTTCCTTGTTTTCTCTCTCAGGTTGAAAATAATCCAAACACGTCAAGTCCAAATCTATTATCGAACAAATCTACATTAGTCGAAACATATGGAGGTAAACCGGAATTTGGACGACTAAGTGAACATAAATTATTTGGTGCTCAACTTGACTTATGGCAAACTGATGCAACTGGAAAATGGACAACATTACATTCGACGTATTTTTCTATGTTTATACAAGCAATTGAAACAAATCAAAGTTTACCTTCGTTCAATGATGATGTAACACCGTGCTCTACACGTACTAGTCGTTGTGCTGTTGGATCAGATATAGACATTGAAGATATTGATATTTGTTAGGTAAATCTTTTGTCGAAATTTTTTCCATATCCTTTTTTTTTGTTTCTTGTTATTAAATTAGTTTAGACATTGTATTATATATGGAAAACTAGTTGTTAACAGAGGCGGGAGAGATTGAGGATATCCCTCCTGCTTTTTGAAAAATTGGTGATAAAATTGTTCTCATTTCTGAGAAATTTCAGACGAAATTGGTTGCCTCCGTTAACTTTTGAAAACTTCAGGATAAATTCCTCTCATTTCTGAGAAATTTTGGACGGACTTTTCTCCGTTTTTTTTCCCCACATATTCTTTCATTTTCGAAAATGCCTCCCCTTCTTTGAGCTCTTCGCGTCGCCTCTGGTCGTTAAAAAGACATTACTTTTGCTGCTTTCAGCAAATCTATGAATTGGTCATCGCAATATTCGAGATGGTATTCAAGAGTTTTGGCCCTTTGAGGATTGACTGTTTTTTATAAGAAAACTGAAGCTGTAGCGACAAAATCAGTTATGACCTGAAAAAGTGAAGTATTCATTATCATAATTATAATACTTGTTCTTAGTGCAATGACACAAATAGTGAAAGGATAAGTGGCATTAAGGCCATTTTTCTGCCCCTAATATTTTTCAAAAAGAATTACAGGTTTGCAATCAGCATTAAATTCTGAGTGAAATGCGACATTTGTTGTTGAGAAAAAAAACGGCTTTCATTTTTCACAGTTCATGTGGCACCTGTAGGGGTGTGGATGTGGGGACTCTGTGGACGTAGGTGTGAATGTGGGTGTGGAGTCTTAATTTTTTTGGTGACCTTACCTACGCCTCGAGTCTTCTAATATGTTAAAGCATTTAAAACTACAGAAGAGTCTTTTATTGTGTCCCATTTTTCAAAATAGATTTTGATTAGAAAGATTTTTCAGGAAACCAAAAGAAGTTTGGTGGTTTCAGAGGATATATTCCGAGTTTTCAAAGCCCAGAAATAATGTTGACTTCAGTTTTTATGTTTTTCCACTCAAAATCCTGAAAACGGGGCGTATTTTGATGTAAATAGACTGGCTAAAGTTCCAATTTTTTCGATAAATCAATTAATTAATTAATTAAGGTGGTCTTCTATTGCGTCCAGTGAATTTTTCGTCCAAGATGGTCGATTATGAGAGAGATTTAAGAGTGTGAGTACAGGCTAGACTCTGGATGCTTATGGTCAACAATAAAGATCATCCACACCCAGGCCTTCAATGAACGGTTGATAAGAACTATTGCTATATAATATAGTGGCTCCACCCTCCCCAGATAATCCATACAATCACGAATAACACGAGCATACCGCAACGAAAACAGGAGACAGACAGACTATTGGTCTCAAGGATGTGTGAGAGTGTAGGCGATCTATAGTGTTGTATCCATGAACAACACCCACACCCACACGCACCCAAACCGACATCCATACCCATGCCTATACCATATCCTACATCACAGAGTCATCTTCAAACTCACACCCACACTCATAGCTACGCCTGATTAAACCTTAAAATCAGAAAATGAAAATGAGCTTCCTACTCAAGGAATGATAATCAATTGCAAACCACATGGCAAACGACCGCACGTTTTGCATCCATAAACATTGGGACGACTACCGCACATACATGGAACAAAACAAAGTAATGGTGCACATAGTGTAGGCGGCGATGTTCGTAAACTACTTTATATCTTAGAGTCAGCACGAAGTTGTGATTGAGTATGTGCAACAGGATTACCTAAAATCATTCGAGCTTTATACAACGGAACATAGGCAAAGACAGCAATGATTTGGAGGGTATGGGGTGTGGTTGCTGGTCTGAGTTAAGAAAAGAACAACACCCACACCCACCCTATTCAATTATTATTTTTCGATGACCTTAGGCTTCGCATATATTAATGATGGATAAATCTATGGAATATTTCTAGCATCTTATTTTTGCTAAACAGGATGTGTGTATTGAGGTGGGACAAGATAAAAATCACATCCACAACCTAGCTTGCGATCGACATCTAAAGTTATTGACAGTTCAAAAATGACAAAGACAAATGGAAATGATGAAAATCATTAGTGATGAGGAAGAAAACTGTTTTTCACTAATTCTGTTAGTTTTGAAGGAATAGTAACATATGTTTGCGTTCGTCTAATTGTAATTGTAACAAAATATGTACTTATATTATATCTTTTCTTGTCATTGTCGTAATCTTTATGCATAGTGATTTCAATTCAAAAAAAACACGAACAAAATTCTTAAAATAAGCATAGAATACAAAATTATTCGTGTTGTAGAAAATCGAATGCCGTTTACATTAACATTAGATATATGAGAATTTTAGCTTTCGTGACTACTCTTGGTTGTGACATCCATGAGTCACACTGAGCACTAATCATTATGATCTATCTTTTTACGTTTTCGAAATGAAGATTTATTAGACATAAACAAAAACTTACATAGATAAAATAAAGAAGATTCAAAATGACAATACCACAATAACAAAAAAATAAGAGTTTGACAATAATGAAAAAAAAATATTCGATAGAGATAAAATAATCTTCTTAGTTCGAACTATTCGATAACTGTTCAGAAGTTATTTCTTTTGACAAAGAGAATTAACTTCTTGTCAAGCAAATCAATTATTTTTTCGAAATCTTCGTCAATATTACTCTTAGTAAAAAATCTTTTATTAAAATCATATAAAACTCCTTCATTAAAACAACTAGTGTTCAATAACAATTCAAAAATATATTCTTCACTCTTCCAAAGCTGATTATCATTGTAATCTAAGATATTATTTATAAGTGGAATCCTTTGGTGTGCTTCTAACAAAGATATAATATGATTCTTGGCAAGATTTTTCAATATCCATAAAGAACTTTTGAATTTTCTATCATACATCTTTAAATCTAAAACTTGAAATAATTTGTCAATCACATTTCGATCCAACACTTTAAGATTATTCAAATTTGGACCTTGTTCAATGCCAAAAAAAACATAATCTGTATATCCTTCGCACATTTCAACTAAGTCAGCTGTAAGCATACCAAACTTTGCATAATGAGTTATTAATGCTTCTCTGTCACATAGATTCTTTTTGCAACATAGATATAGTTCTCTTTTGTACTTTTCTTCACCAAAAAAACTTCTTTGAATAGCATCTCGAAATTCCTTCCAATTACTTTCACTAATATCTCCTGCTATACCGATATAACTAGGTATAGGATCAGAAAGATAGTCAAGTTTATCTTTGTTACACAAATAATTGTATAGATCAATGATAAACAAATCAATAAGTTCAGTAGAATGTGTTTTTAAGTTATGAATTATTTCATCTACAAATGTGGTACGTGATGAATTTTTCATGCAATATAACATTTGTTGCAACAATATTTTGTATCGTTTTTCAGATGTTATATTTGACTTGTTTCTAAACCATTTCAATAATGTCAGACAAGTTATATTTGAAGATTCGATGAACAATAAACAGCAATTAGCTCTGATAGAAATCACTTCTGATGATGATGATCTTTCAGAAATAATAGTAAGAATATTTTTCATCTCACTTGACACATTTCGACTCATTTCAAGTTCATGTAACTTAATTAAACAATTACCATAAGCTAGTAAACAAACAGCTAAAATATCTTCTGAACCTTTGTACGAAGAATAAATCATTTTCTCCAACTCAATAATTATATCATCTTGCAAAAGCATACTCTCATCTCTTGTAAAATAATTACGGTATTCTCTATTAAGAGCATTAGTAATTACTTTGCAAACTACAGGAAATTGTTTAACATCTGGAAGTGTAATAATATATTTGTATAATTCTATCAAAAAATCATCGTTATTATACTAAGTTAAATTTTTATCCATCCATTTGACAATAACAGCAAAATATTCATCTTTGATAGCATTTTCGAATTTAGATTGGAAATTTAAATATAAGCGAAAATTTTTTACAAGATAATCTTTCAAATCTGCTGAACAATAACTAATCATGGATAAAAATGAATTAAATGAAACTTTAGATGATCCACCACGTACATTTGAAATAACTCTTTTCAGTTCCAAATCGAGAAATAATTCAAACATTTCTTTACAAGAGATCGAAACAGAAAAGATAGAATAACAATGAACGTTTTCATATAATGTGATTAAAATTTGAATTAACAAGTCGAGAACTAGTCAAGTTTTCTATAATTGATTCCCAATTGGATTTATCACCATGATAAAACATCTCATTTATGATATCGATCTTGATAGTCGAGCCATTTCTCAATCACTGTAAGAGCTTTTCTTTCGATCGTCGAACATTTAGACATATCTTGTATAATCTGATAAAGATCTTGTTTATTTAACATTTGCAAATTATTCGTAATCCATATTGCAAGTTTATATGTCATAATTTTCTTATCTTTTGATGATTCATTCCAAAATTGTTTTAGTTCCTTCAAAGGTAAAATATCATTTTTCTGATTATCTTTTACATACATTCTGAGAATTTCAGCATCAAAAGTTAATTCAAACAGATACATCAAAGATAGAAGAATATTATTCGATGAATCGAATGATGTTGTTTTATTAAAATAGTGAAAGAATATCGTTGAATTCAATTGAAGTAGATCAGATAAATTGTCTTGTCGTTTAGCAAACTCTGATAAACAATGTGAAAGATTTGAATTTTTGAGTTGTCTCAATGCAATGAATACTGCTTCTTCAATTTGACTTTGTTTGTTAAGTGATTCATTTCTAAATTTTTTAACGATTATATTAGTCATCTGTTGAGAACATAAATTATAACATCGAATAAATAAAATAGTTGCTGTTAGTAATGAGATATGTGGTAGTAGAGATTGTAATTCAGTAGTCATTTCACATTGCAATTGATCTCTTTGTTCTTCATCAAACATTAATGGATCTTTCATATCTACTATAAAGCTTAAAGCAATGATTCGTAAAACAGGATCAGATATATTTGTTATTGTAAAGTATACTGCTTTACTCTCCGTAGAATCGATAAGAATAGTATTTATCAGACGATATGTATACAACAGTGTTGAGCTTGTAAAAGCCGAGCAAGTGAAATGGATGCAGCAAAAAGTTGCAAATCTTTTTGTTGATTTTGAATTGAATTTTTTTGCTTCACGAACGATAAGAAACGGATGGAGTAGTTTACGATTTTGTATTGCTTTCAATAATTTATTACACTCTTTATCTAGGGTTGACGTCAACCAAGAACATTTTTCTTTATAAAGTATTAAAGCATAGTTTTCCAACAAGCATTCTTTCAATAAAGGATACAATATTAGTAAGGCGAGATAGATATTGAAATCAGGATTTTTGGAAATGTTCTAAATGGATTAAATATTGGAATAAGAATACAGCGAGTGACGATGAATTAATATTATTAGTTGATGCAATGATTGCATTGTAATACAATTTTTGTCGGGATTGCGGTAGAATGTTAAGCAAGAACAATAATTTTTGAGGTGACATTCGTTGTGAATGAATAATGTTTATCATTTCATCTAGATTTTCTTCTCTAATCAAATGAGTGAATGCTGGTTGGTATTGCAAATATTCGTCATCCTGATTGATATAAGAATCATCTCTGTTGATCCATACAATTCGATTCCACATTCCAAGTTTTTTCCATGCCGATGCGCATGCGATTGAAAACGACATTCGTTGTTTTTCGGATTGATCAGACTGTAAAAAGAATACATTCATAATTGATTCAACTTCAGATTTTATGACAGATATCTTATGCAATTCATCATTACCAGATGAACAGTTACTAAATAATTCTTTGATATAGAACCATGTCCGTTTTAATCTACCAAGTGCCAATGATAATGCTTCGTATCTATCATACTTTTGATAAATCAATGGTTGCAAAAATCCTTGTAAACAGATTAAGACAATGAAACTATCGACAATATCACTTGAACTATCCGATGGTAAAGATTTTTCAATAATATTTTCATAGGTTTTTATGAGTGTTTG